CCGCCAGACTGCACAGAGACGAGTTGTTATATGTTAAAAAATATCTTCATAAATTTGTATAAACTAGATTTAGCAACAAGCTTGCATGCATCCCGCCTATGAATACAAAAATCCCAGACGCCTAATATTTGCCAGAGCCCTTCTTTTTTGGGGGCATATGGGGTACTACAAAAAATAAATCGCACAAGAGTCATCGCCGCGTCACCACAGTTACATCAGTACATTCGAACCTAAGGCTCAAGAGTAACCTCCTGGCCCTTGACGCGGCCAATGACCTGCTGGGGCGCGTACTTGGGGATGACCTCGTCGTCGTGCAGCATCTCGAACTCCTCGGTCGCGTCGCGGCCCATGAAGTTCAGGATGGCCTGTACGCCGCCGGGGTGCTCCTCGAGCCAGTTGCTGAGGTCCATGACGACGCCCTTGACTACGACCCAGACGTTGTCCTTGGTGTTGTGCTTGGCGATCTCCTCCATGGTGAACTCCTTCTCGGGAACCTTGAAGGCCTTGGGGTCGTTGGGCTTAGCGGCCTTGGCACCGTCGTCCTTGGTAGGGTTGGGACCAGCGGAGGCGGTGGCATGCTCGTCAACCTTTGAAGGAGCACCGGAGCCTGAGGGAGCGGCGCCGGGAGCACCCCATGAGACGGTCACCTGGTTGGGGACTGAAGGGTCGAGGTGCAGAGAAATCTGGCCAACACGCTCAGCAGCGCTGCCGACACCGCCCTTGAGAGCGTTCTGGAAGAGGTAGTTGCTGGCAGTGTCACCAGCAACACGGCCGTAGACGACACAGCCAAGAAGAGAAGAACCACCAAGACGGTTGGCACCGTGGACACCACCAGCCAACTCACCACAGGCGTAGAGACCCTCGAAGGGCTGCTTCTCCTGGTTGAGGACCTGAGCCTTGTCGTTGATCTCAATACCACCCATGGTGAAGTGGAGAACGGGCTCCATGACGGCAACGTGGAAGTCATCGTCAACGTTGACGGGCAAGTTGTGGAAGAACTTCTTGCCCCAGGGGTCCTTCTGCTTGCCATCGGCAATGTCATTGTAGGTAGAGAAGGTCTTCTGGAGGTGCTCAGGAGTGCAGCCAATCTCCTTGGCGAGCTCCTTGCCGGTCATCTTCTTCATGAGACCACGGCCAGAGTAGTGACGGGTGTGGAAGTCAAGGACCTTGGAGGCCTTGGAGTTGAGGATAAGGCGGATGGGGAACTTGTTCTTCTTCTTCTCCTCCCACATCATGCCGGAGACGTAGTCACGGTGACCGAGCTCATCACAGAATCGGTCACCATCGGCGTTGAGAAGGAGACCACCCTCACCACGGAGAGCCTCAGCAGCAAGGAACTTCCACTTGGAGCCGGGGTCCTTGGGGTCGACGAGACCTGTGGGGTGGACCTGGACCTTGTCCATGTCAATGCCGTTACCGCCAATGGCCATGACCATCTTCTGACCGTCACCAGTAGCGTGTGTGCCGTTTGTGGTGGCAAGGCCATAGGTATCAGGTCGGTGCTTCTTGAGCAGAGAAGAGTCAGAGAAATCAGCGGCGTAGCCACCAGTAGCGAGGACAACGGGACCGTCAATGGAGACGATCTCACCGTTGTACTCGTACTTGACACCAGTGATCTTGTTACCCTCCTTGTTAAGCTCGGTGACGCGGGCCTTCTTGACGATCTCGACACGGCCGGGTTCGCTCTCGGCAAGCTCCTCAAGGCGCTGCATCAGGGCGTATGTGATGGCCATACCAGGGAACTTGGCATCGTGGCCTCGGTGGGTTCGGGGCTGGGAGTGACCACTGTGATGATTGTCAGCTTCTTGTTCCGATGCGTCGGAATGCGAATTGAACATACCCGAGACGAGAAACGAGGGTGAGATCGAGGTTGAACTCATCCTGAAGCCACTCGACGGCAGAAGCGGACTTGTAGGTAAGGACCTTGATGAGGTCGGGTCTAGCCTTGTCACGGGCAGACTTGAGGGTATCATCGTAGAACTGCTTCACGCTGTCGGGAATACCAGTCTCAACCTGTGTCCTTGTGAGGGCACCGTTAATACCGGAAGTAGCCTTGGTAGAGTTTCCACCGAAGAAGCCTGCAGAAAGCGGATGTCAGCGAATGTTGCGGTCTAACAAGTGCAAGCGCTTCAATGCGCTCGCTGGGTCAGTGAGATTCCGAAGTGACGTACCCTGCTTGTCGAGGACAACGACGTTGCCGCCAGCCAAGTAAATGGTGTGCGCAGCAGACAGACCAGACACTGAAGGAGAGAGGTTAGAATCGTCGCAACACACGGCGCAAAGCCTCCGAGAGGCGAATTAGTGTCAACTTACGGCCACCGCCAACGACAATCACTCTAGGAGCCATTATTGCGTGTGTGTGTTTTGGTATGTGAGTATAATGGAAAAGGGTATGAAGAAGACACGGCAGACTCCCACGCAAGAATACAAGAGAAACAGGGAGATAAGATGGATGGTCTTGGGAGGATGGGGAATAAGAATACAAGATCAAATAGAAAAAAGTCGGAGGAAGAGGAGAAGATCAAGGGACAAGTTCTTATTTAGTAGGTACTGTATGCGATCGAATGGAAAGGACGCCAACAAGGCCGAGGGCGAAAGTCAAGCACCGAACCGAAAGATGAGGAACCCCAGTCCCAGTTGGTTAGTGCATGCCGAGGTCAAACTCGAACCATGAATGAATGATGAGATGAGGCGCGTGCAAAAAAAAGGGCGGCCCCAGCATACGCCGCCTGGGTCATCAACGAGGTTCAAGTACTTGTTTTACCACAAAACCGCACATAATTCTCTATTATCATTTGATCTAATAAAGTATATATCCTTTAATTCTCTTTTCTTCTATTAGATAATACTTTTTATTTTAAATATCTGTTGGCCTCTCTGTTCATGACTGTCGCTAACATTGACTTGAGACCTGCAGCAAATCAGATGCCACCATTTTCTCAGCATAACAGGGCCAAGGCCTAGGATTGCTCCCCGGAAGCGGCAGCAATGCCCACTGAGACTTAGCGTCAGCTCCCTGTATCCACCCCCGCTACAGTTAGAATTTGGGGACGGGATTGGGGGAGGTGCATCAGCTTCCATCAGTTGACTTTCATATGAACGTTTACTCGTCTATTGAGGTGTAATACTCTGTAAACCTACAGTATCTCGCCAATTGAGGGGCCTATAGACTCTAATCCACATTCTCTCCCCAACAAGTATCACCTTCGGCTCAGTTACTCGCTGCCCTCGCCGTAAGCTACGCCGAAACACCGCATCGCATCGCATTTGTCTACCAGGCGACCGGGCAACCCACCGACAATGGCCTCTCTCGCGACTGATGTGCCGAGGCTCCGCTTCTGAGGACGTGGGGAAAGCTACGGATACAGCATCTCAGGCTAAGCTGTTAACTAAGTCGACACTACGAGACATGGAAGTGTTGTGATTCCGGGGTTCCGTGGTTCCGAATTGTCTAGGTAATAAGGAGTCTATCGTGGGAGCATGATCATGTACGGATGTCGTATTATATCTCGTCTATTTATTTTATTATAACTCTCAGCATGTGAAAAAACAATTCTCCTCATGCACTCTCCTCACTCATCATCGTTCTCCTCGTTTCTGACACCTGAGACTCATCCAATTATGTCTCTCTTCTCCAAACCCCACACAGCCGGACTTGTGACCGACCGCCTCGGCCAAGTAACCGGACACTCCACGGACACTCAAACATGAACTCGAACTGTACACGTGATCTGAACCGATCAATTCCTCCTCTTGAGTTCAAATAAAACCATCAGACTTTCACATGCCATCTCCTCCAAAAAAGCACATGAATCGTCTGCATAACTGAAACCCTCCTGCATCTTGTCCATGACGCCGTCTTCCCCACGTTCATGACTAGAGATCCAGTGACAGGCATTCATCCTCAGGCTTGTGACAGTTTGATCTGGTCAGCTGTCTTCCTTTTCGACGTCGCTCATTCGCTTACTGTTCTCTAAAAAGCACGTGAAAGTCTCGCCTCCATTCTTCCTCTGGGGATTGAAGTCCTCCTTGGGCTTAAGTTTTCCCCAGATTATCTTACACGTGCATCATCTGACCCCGGAAATTGTCTGAGCCTCCGCCACTTCTGCTCTTCCATTTGTCTAGAGTCTCTGCCGTCTTACTGAAACCTGGGGGCTGACTTAGCGAGCTTTCACATGTGAATTTCAGTACCGAAGGGTCAATGGAACTCAGAGTCCGAGTCGAATCAGGCTGATTGTGGCCTGCAGTCTCGACGGGTCTTCTGTTGCCTCGCTGATCCCTTTTCATCTTTTTGAGAGGGACGCCTCATGCAGGGTTCAATCTCAAAGCCAATGACGTAGGTGACCTATCCCTGAATCTCTACTACCGGGTAAGAGAAGCGCTATGTATTCAACGGCTTGAGGTACACAGTTTATATCATGCGAACAGAGTTCTCTTTGATTGGAACCTGTATCAAACTTGAGTATTTATGGCTCTAGTGTACTCATTGCATTGAAGATATAGCGTATCTCAATGCATGGTGGGTTAACCGTTGTCAAAACGGTTGAAAGATTCTACGTTCATAGGATAGACTGTGAGCAAGTGCAAAAGCAAGAACATCTTACAGAGTATTTCATAAAAAATAGCGAGGCCAGTTGAAGATTAAGTCAGCCTGAATAGACTGCAACGTATGCTATTTTAAAGAAAGGCAACTCTGGCTCCCGTTGAAAACTCTAGGATGATTCTTCTTGATGGCTCACAACGATAATGCGCAAACGGGTTCTCAGGTACCATATTGTACCAACACCATACCTAAACATAGGCTGAGCCACTGTTATAATTGTACGCTATAGATCAGATTCCTTGAGAATGCACCAGACATGCGGCGCAACTTTCTGGTGTAAGTCATTGATAACGATCCCGTGACCAATCACGTTACCCCCAACATGCAAATCCCCTCATGACGTACATACCATCAAACCTCAACCAAACCTAAACCTGCATCAACATCCCTATTCACAATGAAACCTCTTATCGCCCTAACAGCTCTATTCAGCGTAACAACCGCCTCACAGTCTCCCCTCCGCGATAATCAAATGCCCCTCCCCAAACCTCCCATCCCTCTAAAAGGCCATCTCCCTCTAATGTCTCCCGACCAACCCTCCGTCCAGCCCTCCGTCGCCCTCGGCGACATCCTAGGCTCCAACCGCGGCCTAACATCGTTCTCATCCTTCGCGCGCATGCAGCCCTCCACCGATACAAGACTCAGCGATCTTTCAACGAATACCACTGTTCTTGCGCCGCTGAACTCAGCGGTTGATGCGCTGCCGCGCAAACCGTGGGAACAACCCGCTGATTACAATACTTTTGGCGCTGATGCGTATGAGGGTGATGGAGGGCAGGATAGGGCGAGGGAGAATATGAGGCGGTTTGTGGAGGCGCATCTTGTGCCTGTTAGTCCGTGGGAGAAGGGGGAGAAGAGTAAGACGCTTGGGGGGAAGGAGGTTTGGTGGGAGGTTAAGGAGGGACGGAGGGTTATTATGCCTGATGAGGTTGAGGTTGAGAAGGTTGCTAGTCAGGTTGGGAATGGAGAACTGGTAAGTTTGTTAAGATCATGATGGGAGAAAATGCTAACTTGAGATACAGTGGATTCTCAAAGGAGTTTTGAACTACGCCTAGACAGACAGCGTTGGCGGGTACAGACAGATACACGAATAATGATAGATTAATGATTATGCAAGCTTGGATACAGCTAGATACTTTACGCAAGATTTCGGGATACTTTCTTACGGGCAGTGACACTTAGGATAATACACGAGGTTCAGAGACATCGCTGTGCATCGGTCTGCTATTCATCCAGTATATTGATTAGGTCAACATGTTCGTCGCCGGTATCATCTATCCGAACTCCCAGAAACAACACCCTCCGAAACAGACATAGATTACAATAAGGACTATACCTCCAGAACAAACTCCCTCCACTTTTTCGTCATGCAGGCTATTCTGCACATTTCGCTCCAAACTCTGCAAGCTACCCATATACTCAAGGGTCTCACAAGCCAGGTATAATATTCAAGATGAAAGGAATACAGGCAAAATCTGCCTCAAAACAAGAGACTGCAAGGCCGTAAACAGGACGCTGGCCGGTACTGATGACGTTCTATGACTGGCATGCAGGGGCCAGCCTATGATGCCCTGTCGATTGAAGCGTATAGCAAAAAGCACTTTTGTATGAGAACAATTTCCCACAAGCGTTACTCCTCAACCTTCAACCGCTTTGGTTCTGACTCATCCGCAGGATCGCTCTGCGTTGTGGCTCCTGGCTCAGGAGTCTTTCGTTTTGTTGCAGTAGAATTGCTTGGAGCTACACTCAAGTTTTGACCCAAGCTCCCATTGGCACCAGGCAGAGGATCTCTGTCCTTAGAAGCGCTCGAGTTTGCATTTGGTGTCGTGTTCAGGTCGTCTCTGAGGAAACTAGGACCTGAACCGACAACTGGCGTTGCAAAGTTCAGCGGACTTGGTAGTGTGTTACTGTCACCTCCCCGGAAGTTCCAGTCGGGATAGAAGCTACTAGGGCTCGGAAGGAGTTCATTTGTCAAGAAACGTGATGGCAAGGCAGAGACAGGAGTATCACCATTCACATTCTGCTGAGGAGGCGGCCGGGCAAAAGGATTTGGCGGACCAGTAGCACCTGCGGACAATATTGCTGACGCGGACGGAGAGGGAGGAGGAAGCACAAGTGACGACTGAGAGTTGTGGCGCTGAGGCGCCTGGGTTGTAGTTTCTGTGGCGACCCGCGGCGAGTTTGACTCTGCCGTTCGTGCGCTACCGCCGCCTTCAGATCCGCCATCCGGAATCTGCACCGTTAAGCGAGGGCCACGAGGTCGAGCTCCTCCGGGACCGCCGGCCTTTGCACTGTTAGAACGCGACGGCGGAGTCAAAGTGGTTTCTGGTATTGACGACAGCGACACTGTTCGAGACTTCTCATCGGTCTGGGTACTGGCACGCTGTGGCAAATGGGGTGATGATTTGGGCCCATCCGCGGCCCGGTTCAATGCAGCCACATCAACTGACTGCGAACGGTTGGCGGCGTTTGCAGCATTAGCAGCGGCAGCGGCAGCAGCAGACTCTGATTTGTTCGACTCGGAAGTAAAAGATGCCAGATGCTGGGACAAAATAGACCGATTCTCTTCGATGGGAGTGAAGATACTGTGAGATTTTCGTTGAGGCAGCTTCTTGATGGCACTGTCCGTATTCAGTAATGGCGGCTGAGGGCGTTCTTGTGGCTCCGTCTTGGGTTCCACGGGAGGTGGTGGTGGAGGATCATGAAGTCGACGTTCAGGCTGGGGCGGCGGAGGTGACATTTGTGACATGTTCGGGGGAAGCTGTTGTTGAGGCGGTTGAGGCGATGGCGTTGGACGGACAGGAGCTTGGATTGGTTGTGACGGCGGTTGCGAACTGTAAGCGGGAGGCATCGGAGAGGGCATCGGGGACCTGCGGTCATCCATGTACGGTCCTGGTTGCTGCATGTGGCTAGGCTGTTGATGATAAGCATATTGGGGATGAGGACCATGTTGAGGTATTAGACCGGGAGGATGAGGCGAGTTGTAGATAGGCGGATTGGGCATATAGTTCATTGCGGGATGCGGAGGGCCGGGCGGAGGTGGTGGTTGGACCATGCCGGGACCCATGCGGCGCATATCCGTTCGAGATGCCGGTCGTGAGCCGATCGATGGTTGCGGAGTATGTTGTCGCTGGATAGGATGACCAGGATGCGCTTGGAATGGGCCGCCATTGCCAATAGGTGGTGATGCTGAAGGTGTATGATGTCGAATCTGTGGAAAAGGAGGTTGATGCTGTCCGTAAGCATGGGGAGGCATCATCTGGTTCTCGACAACTTCAGGACCATGGGGAGGGGTGCCGTCATTCTCCTCATCCTCGTCGTCATCGTTTCCGCCGTTGAAGTCGGAAGGACCTTTGTGTTCACTTGGGCCACCGTGCTATTGTCTATTAGCAAACAATACAGCGCGTCGTAGTCGCAGCCTGTGTTCGGAGGCGTTGCGACTACCTCCAGAAGTGGGACTCACGTATTGATATCGGTGGATAAGCTCTCGCATATCCGTTGATGAATATTCGTAAAGCTTCTTATTGTTGCCGAAAATGAAGACGGCGACATCGACAGAGCAGAGCACGGAAAGCTCATGAGCCTTCTTGAAAAGACCGCCCTTGCGCTTTAAGAAGGTGCTTTGTGCGCCAGTTAGTCGCGAACTTGAAGACCCCAAGATCTGGTGATCTGTAGCGGGTTTACTTACACAGAGCGATTCCTGTCATCTTTGATCGCCTTGATCTCAATCTTTCTTCGTCCCATGTTGAACGGTTGTGCGGTTCAAGTTGGAGAAATGTGTCGCGTTTCCACGCGGGGAAGCTCAACGGTCGCGGCCAAAGAGATGTGGAAGATGCCTGAGACGTTGGTAGTGGAGCAAGGTGGAATTGGAACTGGGTCGCGCAGATCGTCGCAAAGAAAAGGAGTCGACAGTTTGACGCGGAGAAAGTCGAGCCACGATGTTGTAGTCACGCCAAGTTAGAGTCAAGTTGAAGCGGTTGTAGTCGTGATCGTAAGCGAGAACAAAGAATAGTTTGAACGGCGTGGTAAAGTGGATGCTACCAAAGAACGCTTGAGGAAACGGAGAAATAAACCGAAAAAGTCGATGGATAAAGCCGAGAGAAGAGGAGCAGATTGTGTGAGATGACGGAAGCGGCTGTCGCGGTGGCCGTGGGAGGTTGTTTAAGAAGAAAAAAAGAGTGGGAGTGGGAGAGGATTTGATGAGGCAAGCGAAGGTGGTTTGGTTTGGCTTGCTCTGTTCTGCTCTGCGTTGCTTGGAGCTGGGACAAGCCGAAGTAGAAGTAACCTTTCAGTCAGTCGAAGGACCCCCAGGCCGTTGGCTGCCTTTGTAGCTTAGTGGCCGGCAGCTGGTGGAGGGGTACTTGGTGCAGTAGCGCGTCGACGGTATCTCTTCTTTAAGCTTGGCCTTTGGTGGTACCTCTTTTTTAGTCCCGAGGGGAGCGGGATAAGAGAGGGCACGGAGTGAGGCAGAGGATAAGTGACGCAGGCATGCGAGTCGCGTATATCATCAGGTGTGATGCGCAGACGAGATGAAATTTTGAGTTCACGAGAGCCGTTGCGACGAGGAGACTAGGTTTAGACGAGATCTGCCCTCAAGACCGTTGCGCGACGCGACGCGATAGCGATAGAAAAGTAAGATTTCAAGAGAGGGCTTGGGGGATATTTCCTGGCGCTTGCGCTTGCGCTTGGGAAAGGGGGCAAAGAGTGGGAAAAACGAGCGACCGTCAAGTTGAAGGTTTTGGGTCTTGGGGATCGATAAGACGTCGATGGGGCTGAATCTGGCGTCTGTGGTTGGGATGGGAATAGAATAGATGGATGGCTTCTAATAATAGACGGATCGTGTTCACTTTCACTCGTGCGTGCGGGTGCGGGATGGAGAAAGCGACGGGAGGGAAAAAAAGAAGGCAGCATGGAACCCGCACGAAAAACCTCCTTGCTTAGATAAGGCGAGCGTGATTGGATACAGGCCAGACGGGGCTCACCGTCATGGTGGGTTTTAGTGGAGTAGGGCCTGGACTGCGGCACTCGAGGCCCTGGAACGGTCCCCTAAAGAGGCGCCAACGTTCTGGGAGACAGACCAGGATGGGACGGGACAGCGGAGTGGAACTTGGACAGTCAGTGGAAGTGGAGGTCCAACCACCGACTTTTGGAAATAACATCATTGACTTGACATTTGTCGCACCACGTTGCTCTCTACCTGGGGCCTGTCGATGTCTTATCTTTTACAGTGCAGTTGAAGGTATATCAGGTATAATATTGTTCTTGGCAGACGGAAGAGTCTCGAGTTCAAGTCTCTTCTCGAACAAATAAGAAGCTCTCACATCGACCACCAACCTCCCATTACAGCTCTTATCGTCTTGAAACCACAAAAGCCCAGGCCATATCCCGGTTCAAGTCAACGGAAACAACACATCGACTAGAGCAAACGAGGCTAAGGCAACTCTTCCGGATATCGCTTCCTGTGTTTCATGCATCTTGACAGACAGGAAAGGAAGCTGAGCCTCTTTTGTTCCCACCCATTCCGCTGCAACGGCTTTCGTATTCCCACCATAGATTTTTGGCTGCTGCGTCTCTTAGCTCCAAGTTTGCCCTTGCGTCGATGATCATGGTCTGTTCTCTCCCACGAGTGGCTCTAAGCTTCGAGCTCTGTCCTATCGATCGACACTAATCATGAATCTAACGAGTTGAGTCAGTATAGATAGACTCGTTGAACACGTCCGTGAAGCTACTGACATTGGTAAAGCTATAGCTTATCTCCTCTAACTCCCTGTCTCGTCCCCATCCCCTCATGACATATGCCAGAGACCCTAGTTCCCAACCGTCATTTTCCAGCTTCTAAAAATACAATTATGCATAGCAGCCTCAGACCCGGGACCAGGTCATGCATCAACCATGCGGGCCAATTAGCCCAGCTCGTCAGGAGATTAACCCAGTTTATCAGTGGAGACACTATAATGGGGGCTAAATGTGCATCTTGAAATTTGCCCGCTTCTGAGACGTGAGAGGTCAACTGCACCACCAACAACTCATCACCTACGTATTTTAGACATCTTCACCGCATGCGACTCCATGGATACTCGGATCACTTCTTGTCACATCATTGTCAAGGATGCTAGTTGCAGAGTTAGTTGATTCTCCCTACCTCTGCTTCGTCTAGGGTTCTCCGGCAATGGCTATCCGCCTTGTCAAGCGTACGTAGCATCATGAAGTTCGGCAAACAAACAGGAACAAAGTTAATGTTTCAAATGATGTTATTAATAGCATAATGTCAGAAGAACTGTCGAACGCAGTCTAGGTAAATGCAATATCTTTCCTGTTGCCATGCCAGCCTTTTCCGTGAAGCAACAAGGATCCCAAACTCCATTTCAATGCCATCCACCTCTGGTTTCGTGAAGTTGTACCAGAGCTTCCATAATGTACAGCTCAATTCTCCCCCCGAAGCCTTTTTGAAGTAACTTAAAACCAAGAATATTAGTGCCATCACTTTCCTCCATGCTGGCAGTGAAGCCATATCAGCTAACCATTCTCAAAAGTCGACGTCATAGTTTTGGCTGATCGAGATCAAGCTCGCTCAGTAAAAGCAGTAATCGGGTTCAACTGGGTGATCCAGCAGTGCCTCCTGGAGCATTGTAGTTACCAAAGCCTCCGTGCTCAGCAGCGCCATTGTCCGCTTTCATCGTGCCGTTAAGCAGTGGACATAACCTTTGAGTAACAAGTTAGTAAAGAGTTTTGAAGAGACGTGTCAATCACAAAAGAAATGCTGTATGTGATGTGGTAGTCGTTGCACGAATTGGTCTTCTCAACGCCATCCACCTCCAGATCGCCACTTGGGCACTTTCCAGGCATTGCGGATGCGCTCAGCTTCACGTTGCGCACGCGCAATCTCTTGCTCGTAGGCTTTTCGCTCTTGGATGCGGCGCTTGAGTTCATCTTTGACTCTCTTCTGCTCAGCCTGTTCTTTGGCTTTGGCGGCTCGTTGCTCTTGGACTTGCCGGGCTTTGGCTTCACGCTCTTCTTGCTGCCGCTTGGCCTCCTCATCTTTCCGCTTGCGTTCCGCTTCTTTCTCTGCGGCTCGCCGCTCCTTTTGTAGTTGAATAGCGATTGCCTTGTCCTCGCGAGCCTTTTCTTCAGCACGCCTTTTGGCATCTCGTGCCTTGATTTTGTCGCATTGCTCCATGGCAAGTTGCAATTGGGACTTGCGTGAGCGACTGCGCTTCGCGTTGTCGGCCTCTAGAGGTGCACACCAATTGAACGACACAGGGGGAGGGGGAGAAACAAAGGCAAGTGATGATGGAGAATGGGGGCTCATACTTCTTGTTTGTCTTGATGTGGCCGACTTGGCCACAATTGGCACACTTGCGGGTTGTTCCAGTTGGGACTTTATCGCCATTGACACTGGGTGACCCAGCATCTCCTGTGCTGGCCTTTTGGTGGAGCTCTTTTTGTTGCTCCCGAGCCTGTCGTCGAGCTTTGTTCTTCTCGAGTCGTTCGAGCTCCTTCTTGATTCTGTGTTACTGTTAGTATAGATCATAACAACATGACTCGAGAAGAAGACATACCTAATGCCTGCAAGACGGTCATGGTCGGCATTGCCTGTAGGACGGGAGCTGTAGATGCTGTTGAAAGATACACGTAAGCCGGTGCTCTAAACTCCAATCCAGTAATGTCATTTCTTGAGCCAGGGGTGCCGACTCCGTAAGTTCGTCGACGTTTTCTTGTCACCACTCCCCTGCTCTGTGGTTGCTGAACTGCCTGGCGCGAGTTGGGTGGGTGCACGTACTCTCTCATCTCAAGATCCGCCTCTGTTCGCCGCTTCATATACTGCGAAATCACAACCGGATCGTGAACGACTTCGACTCGGTCTTGCATGCTGCCATCGGGCATTCGGATCTCTCGGGTTATGCGAATAGCGCGTCGTTGCTGTCGACTTGCCGAAGTCAAACCACTAATTTGGCTGGTACCGTCGTCGAACTGGGCTGGAGTCATTGCTGACTGAACGTTGAATCTGTCATCTTCATCTTCTGTTACTGCAACATCTTTGTCGTCATGCTCTTGACCATCTGAGAGTGTAGACTTTTGCTTCTCCCAAATTTCTCGAATACCTTCCTCGTACATTGCTTGCTGCTTTTTGACATTATAGGCGTGGCCACCATTAGCTCGCTTTTCACGCTCCATAGCATCTGCAGATGTAGCAAGCGGTCCCTGAACTGCCTCGATATATCCGCCCTTCATGGAGGTTCGAATGAAGGAGAAGCCAAGACCATGGCCTGTTGGGTCTCCTTCACCATGAAGTTGAAGCATGGCCTTTTGGGCACATGCATCGATGAAGGCCTTGGTTGTCTTCCATGGGGCCATCTTGTCCGCGAGAGTTTCTTCTTGCTTCTCTTGCTGCTTTTTGGCGCCCTTGGTGATCTTGCTGCCTTCATCCTCAGCCTCGTCGTCGTCCCCATCTGCATCGTTGTTCTGAACATCTTCCTCAAGGGAAGCATTTCGAGGGTCGTATCCGGCGTCCTCAAGCTCCTTGATACCAAGTTGCATAGCATCAAGTAGACAAACCTCTTCCGGCTTGATCATGGATCGGATCGTGCTCTCATCAGGCAGTATTTCGCCAGGTTTCAGTCGCCACATGCCCTTCTCGCCGCTCTCCCTGTCGTACTGCAGAAATTCTTTGAGTTTTTGGCGATTTTGAGTATCAGTTGAGTCGGCAATATGCTTGGTGATGTCGGACAGTTGACAGTTGTCGGTATCGCTATGTCTTATCATGCGAAATGCGAGCATCTTCATCCTGTTCTTCGAGGCGTTCGTGACCTTGCGACTATGTGGTCCTGGAACCTCGACCGAAGGGAATTGCTGACCGACGACATAAAGATGATCGATCTTGTGCAGATACCACCTTGAACCATGTTCGCCAGTAGTGCTGCGCACAACCAAGAAGTCACTACCTCTTGGGTTATGCTTGAAGACTGGAGCTCGGTACATTTCGTTGTGCAATGTTGGCACAGTCTCACCAGGGTCAACAGTGCCGAAAAGAGAGAAGGGGGATCGATCTTCAGGAAGAAGCATGCGGTACTCTCCAAGTTCTTGTTTCGGGAGTTGCTCATCTTCGTTTGTGTCTTTCCGGCGATAGTAGTTAATCAAGCGGTTGCCCATACCGAAGCTGCTGAGCACTCGTGGACGTTGTTCACAGTATTCGTAGAGAACAGCCGTTGAGTTGTCGTTAATACTCAAATCCTTGGACTTGAGGAAGACTTCGTGCGCTTTGCCCTTCATCTGCTTTCGCTTCTGGTGTGCAGGCTTGTCAAACTTGATGATATGACCAGCAAACTTCTTGTACCTGAAACGAGGGCGATGATACTCATCTGTCGTACCACCGAGCTTAACCTTGTAGTACGGCCATGAGAGCTTGATAGCGGGCATACTGTGCTCGACAGAAATGTTGCCGAGTGTAGCGCGGACCTTGCTTTGGTGGTTTTCCTTCAAAGCCTCGTATGCCTCGTCGTTCGAGATGTTGAAACGATTGGAGACATCGCGGCCGAGGTTGCCGTTCGCCATGCGCTTTAGCTTGTTGTCTGTGCGGGGCCGCTTTGCATTTCGTTGGGTTTCTTGAGTTTCGATAAGGAGGTAAGGATCGCTCATATCCAGTTGCACCCTCTTGGCACCTCTGCGTGTGGCGTCTTCGAAGTTGTCGAAGGAGGGGGCAGCATAGCGGGGAATTTCTGGTAGACCAAGTTTGACTGTCTTGCGTTTCTTCGGGCGTGGTGGACCTTCGTCGCCAAGGTCCATCAAGAATTCAGCATCCCATTCATCATCCTGCTCTTCAAATACGCGCTTCCGTGCTTGCTGTTCTTGCTGCTCGGCGGCTTGTCGGGCCTTGAAATCAGCTTCGATAGCCTCAATGCTGGCACCCCAGTCTTCGCAGGCAAGCTCAATATCACGTAGGGTGAAGCCAGCAACCGTTTCGGAATCGGATTCTTGATCGAGGTCAAACTGGACATTATCTTCGGCTTGATCTTCCTGGTCCATGCCACAGTACACCAAACCTCTCTCCTCGCCCTGCCTAGGTTTGCGGGTGATGGTTGCAGTGCCTGGGATACGGAACAGCTTCTCTTGATCGGGAGCGAGTTCGAGTGTAAGTTTGCTGGTGACGAGCTGCTTGGGCTTTTTGACGGGTTTCTTCTCCTTCCAAGTCGCCTTCTTCGCTGGCAGGAGTTCGCTCCATGTCAAGATGTGCCCCTTCTTGAAAGCAGGCCATGTAGCTTTTAAGAGGTCCTCGACGGTCTCAGCGGGTGCGGGAATATCATGATCCTGATTATCGAGATGTGGTTCGGGGTCGAAGTTGATGCCGGGGAAGCTTAGACTCGCATCGAGAGGTTGGGTGTCGTCGGTGGTATCGGCATCGCGAATCTGAGGTGCTGGGGAAGATGGACCTAGAATTGGATCTGGGGAAGATCCCTCTCCGAAGAGGTCGTCGGGATCATGACTGGTTCCGCCATCGTCCGTGAGGCCAGGCATCTCCATAGAAACGCCAGCGCTGGGCTCCTCCTCGTCTGGTAAATCATCATCACTAATATCTTCGTAATCCTCTGCATCGTCCGCCTTGCCAGACTGATCGAATTCGGCATTGTCGAGAATGATGCCACCTCCGTTGTTTTGCGAATCTCCCAGTAGCTTCGCGATTTCTCGATCGTCGGCGGCGTCCTGGGCCTTCCAGGCGTTCTCGTCAAAGGACGAGAAATCGTTCTCCTCAGCCATGATCGCGGTGTCGCAATCGTGAAATCAGATCACTAAGAGGCCGCGGAAGTGTCGTTATTCTTATATCATAATTTTATCGCGTCGCTGGTGATCGGCCGTCTCTCGGCTAGTCGTGGCTGTCGGGTGAAGATAAAAGGGAGGGAATTCGTGTTTGGGTTGAGCTGAGTTGTTCACGGTTGCGTTCTCCATGAAAGATGCCCGGGAGCCTGAGATTGAGCGCGGAGTCAGCCAATCAACGTCGAGATAGGATGGAGGATGCTGAAAGGCCAGTGCTTGGATTTCGAGGTGGGGCGGCGTAGAGTGGCGTGCAGGTCCCCACTTCAACACCATTGTCGCGACAAGGAACAATTAACGTGTGAATGTCAATAGAAACTCACCTTGATGTTCTAATGTTGCACTAAAGCCTTACAGCAGGGGAGGACACAGCTATGAAATAACTTTATAAGTGGCTCTTGAGTTGCTGAGTACAAGGTGAAGCTGAAACCTGGAGACTTTGTCAGGATTATTCTGGTGAATTAGCATTGGACTTACAAAGCGAGTCTCCAAAGAGCACAAGATAGCTCTAATAAGATCAAATGCAATATCTTAAATATATGTACCAGTGACTGCTTTTAATTAAAGTTGATGTGGCATGTTGAAAGAATAAAGTTACGTGGAAGCAAACTCACGAATTTATAGAACGATTGGGGCCGGGATTGGAGGTGAATCACTACATCATGATTGGTATCTTAGACCAGGGACTTGCATTTGCGGAGCCAGGAAATTAACTTCTATGCAATCATCTAGTTGTGAGGTACATGCGGTATTACGGTACTTAGATAAAGAGTCGGTTCAGAGTACAGCTAGCTTGCGAGTATGCTCAATGCCAGGAGGGTCATAGCCATAAGCTCAACTTATCGAGAGACGAAGCATAAAATTATGGTTCAATGCCTCCAGCTTACTCGCCAAAGAGATTAATGATAAGACATAAAAGTGTTAGGTATCCCAGCCCCGGGTAAAGAATGGAGTAAAGTTCGTCAATAAGCTCAAGGCCATGCAGGCATCAACAGACCATCTATCGCCTGCCTCCTCTGCTTTAAAGGACGGAGGAATCGGGGGTGGAATGAGGGAACATCAAGGCAGTGTATAGGAATGTCAGTATACGGTGGGCTTAATATCTTCTTCAACTCTGCGTGGCTAGGGCGACTCGCCTTGGGCTGCCGTGAATGAACTCGAGATCTGTTCCTCACGGCACTGAAGTATGCTCATCGACATCCCCAAGAACATTTGACTTGCGGCTCTACAAGAGAATTATTGACAGTCTGAGTAGAAGTCGACTGTCCCGTCGGTACATCACGGACGAAGGGGCAGTTGAGAGAGGCGGTAGTGATTATAAGCACCGCTTGGTATCAAGACACAGGCGTTGCTTTAGACCATTTTTTAGATGGCAATCAACACATAGGTTGTAATCTTCGAGTTTGCTTGCCGTCTTCGCTCTATCAGGGAACATCTGTACAAACTCACTGACTTAGTCACAACTGGCCATAATGATGGTAAGCTGCGTGTTGAAGATACTCTGCGTCCACAGAAAGAGGGTATATAGAAGGCCACTACCTTACATGACACATGTCAATTCTCTATCCGTACATCGTAATTGAAACCCGCCATTGTTCCACCTTTGAAGTTCCGGGTAGCCGAAACACCACTTTGACACTCGACGATTCTGACGTGACACATCCATTGCCGACATCATGGGCAGTGAAGGGGAACTTAAGGAGCAAGAACGATTTTGGCTTTTTTTAAGCGTGTAAGATATAAATAGTCTAAAGACCTGCTGTTCAGCACGATGAACAGCGTTCCAGAGTATGGCGATTGGCATAAGACTTCATCGGCGGGCAATGAAGGACGTAGACACTCCATCGATATTGGAGAGAATCATCTGTCGCATCTCTCATGATACCAGCTGTACTAATGTTAAGGCGTTTTAGGTAGCAAAGCAGGAATAAGAAATCTGGTCAAGGTGCTGTGATTGAGCAACCTGCAACTGCGCTCACCATCTCAACACCTCCCTTCAATCCGGTCAAGCACATATGAGCTCACGCAACCTGCATATAAGCGCCATGAGCTGTCATTGTAATTTCCAAATTACAATCCTCATTTCGCTTGCTTCAAAAGATCCCCAAAAACACACCCCAATTCGGTCATACACAGCGCCCATACGAAAACATGCTTTCATAGCGAAATCTACCCTCCATAATACACAATCATCACTAAGATCAACCCTCTATAATACCAGAAGTTGCAACATGATTCGATGGATAATCCCAAATGACGCAAAATCTCGGCGGATTCCTGATTAGGGAGTATCATGACAGGGCGGCATTGCATGGAACAAATCCTACACAACATAAGCATAATATTTTTGGCCCCCAATCGTTTATCTCGACGACGACCAGTTTTGGAAACACCGGTCTGTAAATCGTGGCACCATAGATGTATCGAGAGCAATTGAGTTGGACAGTGATGTAAGCTTGCGCGTGATGATGTGAGGAGATGGAGTCTGTCTTGATTGTTTTCCTCTATCAATGCTGTGAACGTCACACTGAGGCCTGTTGATGTAGTCATGAATGGTACGCCATTGATGGGACTAGTGTTGAGAAAATGATACAGTGTATTTCTACCAAGTTCCGTTCGTCGTGTAATGCATGACGAATACTGAATGGTTCAATAACAATAATAAAAACAAAGGATTTTGAAGTCAATAGTGCCACTCTCTAACAGCACAGAGGAATCCTCCCAGTTGGGTATACGCCATCAATAACACCGTTGAATCCATAAACTCATTAGACTTGCGCAGCCCGATTGGCGCGGTTTGCGCGGTTTGCGCGGTTTCTGTGACCCGTGCAATGATATATCAATCCGCCAATAATCGCGACTATGATGAGCAACCACTAGATGGCATTCATGACTATTGCCGCGATGACCAGCCCCATGAAACCCTTGCCGATATCCTCAAAATGGTGGATTGTTGGTAAATCTTGCCGTCTTGACAATGCTCCATTCTCTGATGCATCCTCGTCAGGGAGAGCTGTGTCGTTGGGCAGAGTTCCGTTGATGAGGATTGTCATTGTGCCGTTGACCTCTGCAACATTGACGATGGACTTGTTAAGTGCGTCGTAGCTTCCGTTTCCGATGAGTTCGTCGAAGTATTGGGTGCTGTTGTTGTCGTCGCACGCACAATACTCGTATCGCGAGCATCCACAGAGGACGTCGCGTTCCTCATCCTCGTCGCTGGTTTCGTTATGGTAGTGGTAGGGGTGCGAGTAAGGATACATGTATGCACCGTAGAGCCAAACGCCAGGCCAGAATGCCAGAGCTGCACCGCCTAGAGCGAAGGGTGCAATTCTTCCGGGACTTGAGACGCCAGACTTATAAGGTTTCGAAGAACCACCGGGGTAATATCGACCGCCTGCGAAGCTTGGCTGCGGACCGACGCCACGAGAGCCGCCGCCGGCGGAGCTACGGGAGCCACCGCTGCCTGATGAAGAACCTGGACGAGATGATGAGCCTCTTGAACCACTACCGCTACTGCTGCTTCCGCGACTGCTGCCGCTTCCACTGCTTCCACGGGAACTCCCACCAGATGATCCTCTTGAACCTCCGCCGCTGGAACCTCCACGGCCTCCACCACCACCACCGCCACGGCGCTTGTAAAGCTCGTGCCCAGAACAGCCTTGCCCAGAACAGCCTTGCCCAGAACGGCCTTGCGGATAACGACAGCCTCGTCCATAACAGGGGGCTTTCCCGGACTCGGGGCCCTCTATGTCGTTGCGTTCTATGCGGCGGGGTGCATGGGTGACCGACGCGATCGTCGACGTGAGGAGTGTGAATAGCACGACTGCGAAGTCTGGTCTCATTGTGGGCCAAGTTGTCTTGGTATGACGATAGAATGCAGGTAGGTGTAGGCGAGGTGAAACAAAGAAGTGCGGATTGTGGAGTGGAAACCAGATTTAAGTGAAAGACCAAATGATATCGGAATAGAAGATGTCAAACTGACGATGAAAACCAAGAAAGTCGTGAGTTTGTGTTTGGGGGATGTAAGTTGATGGAAGAGTCTGAAGTGGGCAGTCCAAGGTTTAATACCCGAAATCCGAATTCAGGAAGGGTAGGTAAGACTGAATTGATGACGGGGGTAATTGCAAGGATCCACAAGGCGTGCTTTCTCTTCTGGGTTCGAAGGCTGTGACGGAGGCAACAACGAGAGAAGATCACGGGGGTTGACCTTCTATGATGAGGTAAACAGAAATGATGATGTCGCTCTTTCCAGAAGGATTGGGGGTGACGATCGACCGCTAAACAGCAAGAGCAAGCGGTCTTGGCTGGCCTGTGGATGAGGTCACTGCACTGAGCGACCGGGTTTGGCAGGCAGCTCCTTCGAGGTGATGACTGACTTGATTGATTGAGAAGAAGGAAATTGCCAATGCAGGAAGAGTTGTGTTCTTTATTCTACTCCACAAGGAGGTGGTGATTCACTGTAGGGAGCGGAAAGAGCACTGGTCTTTGGCGTAGTCTTAGCTCCGACGAGCTGAAAAGAAGCCAATCTCTGAAAACAGATTGAGTTAGCTCCTGCCAAAAAAGTGCTTTGACTTTTGTTGTTTTTGGCGGAGACAAAAAGCAGCCCTACCAAAGTGGCTTAGCTAGAGGAACCATTCACAGTGGTGTAATTACTTTGGGAGCGTGTTTGTGGTGGTTTGCTGCATTACAGAGGCGCGCATCAACAGACAAAGAAATGGAATGTAGGTCTAAATGCCTTGGCTCAGCCTTAATACAAACACAAGCTTTCATTTAGCGAACAGCAAATCTCTCTAATGTTGATGCTGGTCAATAATTTGTTGGGTTTCAGTGGTAATGTCACTGCCAATTGACCACTGTTTCAAGGATGATTGAGCCGATGATCGTGGGTCTGTGACATAAAGGACCCTGGAGTTGACATGGGCGTATAAGCTTGTCGGGGTTAAGCTTGCAGCGCCGCAACATGCAGGCAATTGCATTTCTAATTGGTGTGCATCCTTGTTTAGTGTGGATCAAGGCTGTCACTGAGGCAGATTTACTTGAGCCATCCGAACAAGACATCTCGCTACGACAACCCAATACGCCAAAAGTCCGCTTGTGACTGTCAAAGCTTTCGTTTAAATAAAAGCTTAGAAGACGTTTTCATTCCTGAATAGATCTTTTATTAGGGATGTGGCTGAAGCTGAGCCGTGAATTCATCTAGGTCTGATTTAGTCGTATAGAGGCTGGACAATTGACGGACACGGAGACGGAATCCCGCAAGAGAATAAACTTCAGATGCGTCGATGCGTATTGATCACCACGTGGTCTTGCACGATTTGGAAGTCCCCGATCTGTATGCCTTGAACTTACAATCTTGGCTGCCTTGACAAACGTTCCATATTTCCAACGAGACCTTCCTCTCTAGTGCGTTATCTGATGCATTGGATCTCCGCCATAGCCACCGCGCCCCCGCATGATGCTAGAGTGACAGTCTGTCACATGAGGCTGTGCAGCGTGCAATTGTTATTGCTTGCAGCATTCTAGAAGCATGAAAAAAAAAATGGCGGCCTGAATTCTAGCGTTCAGCCAATATCAGGCATTCGTGCTTGTGCCCAGGACTTGGCGCACTAGAGTTTTCAGTGCATCTCCGATAGCGGGGACTGGGCGGATATAAACATCACGAGTTGTCGCTCTGTGGCGATGAATGGTTGGATCATCGCCTGGTTTCTGGGGGAACAAATTGATGATCTCTCGGCGTTACCGAGAAGAATTGATGTAAGTGTAAGTATTTGGGAGGCAGCCGTCAAGTCAGCCTTTCAATTCTTTCCTCTATCAAGGCTTGTCTGTCCATACTTCTGAACGAATTCGTGAAAGACAGCCGTGTCATAAAATGCAATGTCCTGAAGATACGCGGAATCCTTTGCTTCACCAGATTGAATGATCTCGATGGTCCGCCTGGACAAAGCCATGACTTCGGCAGTGTGTTTCCTTATCCCAAGCCATTTCCTCTCATCTTTTGGAATACGTTCGTAAGCATCCGTCCAAAGAGAGTCCCATCTATCCAATGCACGTAGCAACACCTTGGAGTGATCGTGTGATACTGCTGACATACGATAATGAAATACGTGGCGCCCAATGCCTGGCAAACATCAGCACTCGTCATTTATTGACTGTCCTGGGGCGTGACGTACCTGAAGAGAGATAAAAGAGATCGGAATGGTCTAATCTGCCGAAAGAGCCTCTGATAGCAGGCGTCCAGTCTTCAGCAAGCAATCCTGCTATTGCTTCGCTGCAGCTTGAAGGGTAAGATCTTATTAATCTACCCTGTGACCTTTCCTGGAAAGCCATGCTTGAATCTGCCTCCCATATATCAGCCGGACATGGCAGATACCCAGTCATCTCCTTTGATGTGATGATGGGCGGGTGGTTGCAGAAGAGCCCCATTAGTGAGTCATTCAAAAAAGTCCATGCATTGACCCTTATACACGTTTCTCGATGAACAAAATCTTCCCAGCATTGACCAGGCTCGTGTTTGAGACTCATCATGTTTGCTTTTCTGAACGTTGCGACTAGTGTTGGAATCCTTTTGCTCGCTAATCTTCGGCGAGGTTCGATGGGGTTTGCGCCGCCTTCGAGAGTGTTCATCAGAACTGCAGCTTGGGATATTTCAAGCATATGCTGCGAAGTAACTGGGCTGACACCTTGACGTGACAATTCTTTAAGCTCCTTGTATATATACTTTTCTGCCAATTCTAGCAGTGACGTATTGATGAATGAGGGAGAAGATTGATTAAAGCATTGCAGATAAACAGTTCCGGTCAACACCACAGCTAGTAGCAGGTGGAGTGAAACCTTTTCAGGATCAAATGTTGGCCAGTGTATTGTGTCTTGGAGGTAGTGTCTGCGACGGAAGACGAAGACCAGAGCATGCTGAAAATGGGACGTCGTAAAGAACCCTTCTTGGCAACTTTGGTCAAGTCCATCCTTGAGATGAGGCTTGTTGGTAGTTAATTCATGAAGGATGTTTGAAAGAGCAACTATCTGCATCGAGAGAGCATCGGCCGGCTCGGTAGAAGGACCAAATATGCCGGAGAATTGCAGCAGATCGTTTTCGGTATCTCCATAGTCCTGAGGCTCATCTAGAAGCATGTTCGGTAGATCAAAGAGAAGAAAACTCGGATCGACCGTCCCTGAGCTCCAACCAACAGTCTGGCGATGCTTCCAAGCAGGCATCTCTGATGTTCTTTCAGGTTCTTGAGCGACTATAGCATCCATAGAAATCTGGGTCGGATTGCTGGTCTGTAAGAGGAAAGAGAAGCTAGGACCGTCGTTATAGGAGACTTCCCCCGGTTTGGAGGTCTCTCGATGTGTAAGATCATGACATAGTGAGCTGTATACGCAATCAATGCCACGAGCCGAACACCGCTGACAAGGAAATTCCGAGTTACAAGACGTCTTCACTCGTGAGCAGTTATCGCAAGCTCGAAGCTTTCTGCCTGGTTTGGCTTGTGGTGGAAGAGGTCGGCCCTGTCGGGCGTTGCAAGAGCGTGCATGCCGACGAGTGACATCAGCTCTGCGGAAGGACTTTTGACAGAATGGGCATTCGTTTTGGCGAGTAGAAAGAGGTTTGCTACAGACGGGACATGTCGGGGCCTGATTTGGAGTCGCCATTTTAGAGGTACATTGATGAAAGAGGTTGATGTCAGGTCATGCATGTGGGAGTTTTCCGAGGGTGAGAAGGAATAAGTGGATCTATGTGGTTAATTCCCGTCCCGACCTGGACCCCGAGGAAAGGTCATATATAGCCAGCACCACGACTGATTTCGTCTTTCTCATCCCTATAAAATTGGATTTATTTATTTGTACGAGATACTTCATTATGGCGCGATTACAATTAGCAAGATGTGAGTAACAAGTCCAAAGAACTTATGCACCGTGACTTACACCATCACTCAGTTATAGCTCGACCTCTCTCCATCACAGCGACTCCAACGATCCCACTACAAGCTCATAGAATAACTGAAAACCGAATCGAGCATCAGATACGAAAAGGTTCCTCCAAGGCCACTAATGTTGTGGCACCTGATGCGCACCCAGCTTCGCTCACCCATGTTAAGCCAAACAACTTAGTTGAATATGCCTTGTACTCAACCCCATGCCACGACAAGACAAGAAGCTAACAAGAAGTGTAATAAAGCACGACTCTGGATAAGCTAGCCAATTGGGGCCGCACTGGCTCCCTCTGGCCGTTAAGCTTCGCTCTCGCTTGCTGCGGCGTCGAAATGATGCACGTTTCGATGCCACGCTACGATCAAGACCGTCTCGGCACCTTCTTCCGCGCGTCCCCTAGACAGGCAGATGTGATGATCGTCGCAGGGACTGTCGTAAATAAAATGGGTCCTGCATTGCGACAACTCTACGATCAAATGCCTGAACCGCGTTGGGTCATCAGCATGGGGTCTTGTGCCAATGGAGGAGGATACTATTACTACAGCTATAGCGTTGTTAGGGGAGTTGATCGTATCGTTCCGGTGGATATCTACGTTCCCGGATGTCCGCCTACTGCTGAGGCTCTGCTGTATGGCATCTTACAGCTGAAGAGGAAGATCAAGAGTCAAAGACCGTCGAGGATGTGGTATCGAAAGAAGTAGATTATGCTTTGGGGGGTTTGTAAGACTATGGAATACATGGATATCATAATGTTACACAGAATAATGACATAATGTCTGCCTTGATTAAAACATGTTCGGAAAGAGAAATCGATCCAAATCAGTATAGTCGAAACTGGAAAGATCACCAACCAAATTATTCAGCCATCTCATATCATCCATCTCTGCAACGGGAGTCTCATCTCGCGTCTCTGGGAGGGGAACTATAGGAAAAGTTTTCAGCACATCACTCAAGGTCGATGCGCACTTCTCCTTGCGTCGCTGCTGCATTAGTATAAGCAATGAAGCAGTGTTGAGGGCCTCTTTCGTAGCATTGGTATTGTAAACAGTAGCAACGTCACTAAGACATTGCATGGCATCCTTTAGCTGAGCTATTGATTCGCCCGTGTCAATGGCTAGTAGAACACAGATTATTTGAAACGGCACGTTCGCCATGTGATGCCACGGCGAGCGTGCATCTAGAATAGCTTGAGCTGCTTCGATGCCTGTTTTGGTGATAGAAAGGATTTGGTCGAGGACCTTTCCTGAGAACGTCGTGTTCATCGACTGGAGTCGACGGCAGAGACATAAAGCGAGGTTTGTCTGCGCCATAATCGATGGCGGAACAGAGTGAGTTCGGCTCAAGACAGTCGACAGCGAGGCCTCAAGTTCGGAAACGTCTTGCGTCTTATTTGGATCAAGCTCTGTTGAGTATGGGAGCAATTCCATAAGCTCATGGGTATAGTCTCCTTCCCTTGAACAAGGCATCTCTAGTGTTGAATTGCATAGGATGGTTCTAGACCGGCCCATGTCGAACGAAATCCAAATGTTGAGGTGCTCAGCGACAGCAAAAAGTCGTCTCCGAAGCTCGGCATCAACCTTTTCTTCTGTCACTGGAAGGACTGACTCTTGAGACGGTTCACAGTGCAGGCCCGCTGCTTCAAGCATGTGCATAAGAATTGAACTCGCCATCCATGCTGTGTGAGGTGTCCCGGCTATTCTCAGGTAGACCACCCGAAGAAGCCAGCCGGTGACACTAGCAGCCGATGGGTCATCAGACATCTTCTGCTCAAGGATGAATCGTGCTGTTTCTATCAAGTCAAGCTCCACTGGTGGCGGTTCGACTTGTGAGAATAAGCACCCGATAGCCGCTATGCCGCAGAGGATAGAATCTTGAGACTGATCGTATAAATATCCAGACCATCTGCCTTGAATAGTCTGTGAGATATCGTTCCTATCAACGAACCCATAAATCGGGTCCATCTTTTGAAAGTAGACAGCACTCAGGCTCTCCATATCTTCCTTGGATAGCAGATCTGTAATAGGCCTTGAGACAGGAACATGGGAAGACTTCCGCGCTCCAAGAAAGGCATTCCAAGAAAAAGTGTGCATCCTGGGCGCATTCTTAGGATCCAACCTCAACGCCAGCCTTCTGAGAAATGCAGCCCCAGAATTCGCCTCCAGCGATTGCAAATGCCTTGGCGAGGTAACATGATCACTCCTCGAAGGTCTAGAATCTCTCTCAATGTGAACAGGAGGTGAAGGAAGAAGGGAAGCCTCGTGAGTCTTCCTCTTCTTGTTGGAAGATGTCTTGTAGGTGCACTCGTACTCAAAACGGACACAGGCTCCGCAGGGCTGGGCGCCGTCGCATTTCCGCTTTAAATCCCGACATGTTTCACAGGCGAGTCTTGAGCGCTTACGGCCCTGAGAAGTGGACATGTTTGATATTGGAATAGGAATGAAAGGATTGTGATGTGTAAGGGGATGAACGCATGTGAAGTGAAGTTGCGAGGGTCGGTTCTTACGGGCCGAGCGGGTATGTCGGCTATCGCGGAAACCTCGGCAATAACGGTGTAAGTGGTTGAAGCTTGACGTAGATAGTTTGGGAATGCTAACTAAACTTATCTTAACCGTGATAAACTTATCACTGTATTCTTACCCTTGGAATTCGAGTCAGAGTCACAGTTGAGCTGTCAGCCTCGACTTGCCAGTATTGCATCTTCTCCTCATGTTACTCAACCAAGACAGAGACTCGGTGTCTGCAGCCGAGACACTGGCTGATATCGAGAACCAAACCCAGCAAACTTCACCTGAAAAAATACTGGCACATGATGAACCACCAGACGGAGGCTTCAATGCTTGGCTGCAAGCCCTTCTAGCTCACATCGTGTTCTTCAACACCTGGGGCGTGGCGAATGGCTTTGGAATCTTCCAACAATACTACACCCAAACCCTTGGAGAAAGTCAATCTACGATATCCTGGATAGGAAGCGTCCAAGTATTTTTCCTATTTTCAGTCGGAGTAATAGCCGGCAGGCTGACGGATGCCGGCCACTTTCGAATAGTCTTCCCGATTGGTGTCTTCCTGCAGGTCCTTGGACTCTTCATGACTTCGTTATGCACGAAGTTCTGGCAGATATTCCTCGCTCAAGCTGTTTGTCTCGGAATAGGCAATGGATTTACGTTCTGTCCGGCTCTAGCTGTTTTGTCGCAGTACTTCAAGAAGTATAGGGCTTTTGCTGTTGGACTGGCGGCCGCTGGTGCGGCTGTTGGTGGTTTAGTTTATCCAGTCTTGATCAACTGGCTCATATTCCACGATAATGTCGGCTTCCCCTGGACTCTCAGAAGTATGGGCTTCATTATGCTTGCTACATATATCCCTTGCCTTATATGGCTCAAGCCTCGACTACCGCCTCATCCCAGTGGTCCATGGATCGATACAACAGCTTTCAAGGAACTGCCCTTCATCTTCTTTACCATGAGCATGTTTCTCAACTTTTGGGGTCTCTACTTTGCCTTCTTCTATCTCGGAACCTTTGCTCGCGATCAAGCGGGCATTTCTGAACCTATCTACCTACTCATGATTCTAAACGGCGTTGGGATATTTGGCCGTATCATGCCCAACATCATTGCCGATAAGTGGACAGGACCCCTCAACATACTCATTCCTCTGAGTATCGCTTCAAGTTTGTTGGTCTACTGTTGGGCGGCTATAGAAACAGCTGCCGGTCTTTACGTCTTCGCTGTGATCTATGGCTTCATTGCTGCAGCATTGCAAGCTCTGTTCCCAGCTGTTGCAACACAAATGGCACCTGATCCAAGAAAGACAGGGACAAGAGTTGGTATGATACTGGGTATTGTGAGTATCGCAAATCTGACTGGCCCTTTTATCTGCGGTGAACTTATCAAAGCTGGGAACGGTAGTTACCTTGGTCCTCAGATGTTTGCTGGCTCTTCAATATTTCTGGGTGCTCTTATGGCAGTGGCTTGTCGAATCGCCAAGACCGGCCTTGTGCTCAAGGCTAAATCATAGGTAGAAAGGTTACATATATATTTTGTATGGTTCATTAATTATATAAGAAATATTGAAATTCAATACATTGACTCAAGCAGCAGGGGTATCTTCCTTCGCCACCCCTTCATTCTGTCCCTTGTTCTTTTTCTTCTTTAAAAACTTCGGAAATCGAACTCTTATACTAAACCGAGAGCCAAATCGAGCAACACTCCTCCTTGTCCTAGCTCCTTCTTCTGGAACGGTAGTGGTACTAATAGGAGCTTGATTACCACTAACAGGAGGCACATTCTGAGGAGTATTCTGAGGAATGGGCGCAGCAACAGCATTACACCAGGTTTCCGACCACTCTTTGTCAGAAATTTCAAGCATCTCTTTAAACGCTTTCCCCTCTAACTCTGTTTTGATGCGCTTCTGTAGAGGCGATACCGTGCTGCAGAGGCGAACCACTCGCTCCCAAAATTTGGCGTCCTCCTCATTTTGAAAGATGAAATCGTCGTCTTCGTTGGTCCACGAGATGGTAAAGATCAGCTTGATAGCCTTCTTTTGGTCGTAGATGAAGGTGCAACTATCTGTGTCGTGAACATTCTTGCGCAAAGACATGGAGTATAGTTGGGCGTAATTAGTATGTGAGAATTGTAGAGCTAGTGTTGATGGTAAGGTCGTCTCATGGCTCACAATACACCTGGCGTATGCCCACTTGGCGTACTTCATGGCTTGAACTTTGATGTGACGATTTTGAGCTTGTTCGTCCTGGAATTTGGCTGTTTGTTGGTAAGGTGAGGCCACTGAGGTGCATATATATGAATGAGCATGCAAGTAGACAAGAGGGAACAGATAAGAAGACCACAATAATAATGCTGCGCCTCTTATCAAGTATATACTTGCCGTTCAGCTGTCTGCGGCCTCTCTAGTCGCCGGCGCCGTGGGCTAGCATTCCCCCTAATAAGCCAAAGGTGGTGATTTCATTGTGTTCTAGCCTCAATAGCGCTCCGCGGTGACATCCTGTGGCGTCCGATAATAACCAGACTAAGGACAGCCCCTCTAAGATCTCCAACGTGCAAAAGAATTCGAGATAGAGGCAAGAGATGAGTATAGACCTGAATATTTAGGTAGGTCTGCTTATTTGATCATAGGAATTCTAGACTGGATATTTCTCCCTATTTTCTTTTCAACCCATTTCTTCTACTCACCCGAGGCTCCCAATCTCTTCAGTTCTGTCCTGCGTAACTTCGTGGCCAGGTGAAGTTCAGCTTTCAGCCACAATGCTCAAATGCACATAACGTGAATGCGCTGTAACACACCTGCGGCTGAAACTAGCGAAAAAGCAAAAGCAGGCTATGTTGATATCGGTAGTCTAGCCAGTTGCAAGCCTGGATCTTGTGACTTGGTATTTCTACACTAGATTCAGCACCTGAATCCTCAACTACTGCATTTTGCAAACTCCTTGAAGTCTGCACCAGGTGGTACGAATCGCCAACATGGGCTGCTTCGGCGCTGACAACGACCTAAATCGGGTAGATGAGGAGACTGCAGTTCCAGTCGTGCAGGTTGATTTCAGAGATGATCGTTGGATCATAGACCTTGATATCGATAATATTATCAGCAACATATCGGAGACTGAGGGCTGGACTACCTCATTCCGCAAGGTGTTTCAGGGCGCCGATGGCAATGTAGAACCCCCAAACGAGCTAGGTAAAGTATGAAAGTTACTTCCTGCAAAGCAAGAGAGCAACGTTGACTGAACGTGCCAGAGTTTTCGGATCAACTTTGCTGTCCTTCAGCGGATACAATTGAAGCAGCTCCGGACCAAACTCGCCAAGCATGCAGTGTCTCTAAGATTTCAAGCGGGTGATCCTCAAGGATGGCAGGACACTCTTAAAGAATATAGTAAGATGGCTGCTGTTTTGGTTAGGAGCTGACCGAAAGCTGATGTTGAATTTTATAGTACAAGCACTCCAAAACTATGAATACATGGAAAAACGAAGTCTACAACCTGAAGATCCGTTCTACATGAGTGGCGAGAAGTATCAAGATCGCAAACTCATTGAAGCCATTCTCGGGGAGAAAGTGAACAGCTTCAAGGGACAACCGGTATTTCCTGCTATCGGACATTGGCAAAAGGGGCCTGAGGAATCGAGATCTGTTCGAGATACAAGACAGGACAACTACAAACGGAACTGGACTGTAGGTCTCCACCAAAGACTTGCCGTGGCGGCCGTAGGTGGGATATTTCTCATGGCCCCTATGTGGCTGATGGTCTTGCATAATACTCTCTACACAGCTTTGGTTTCGACGACGGTGTTTGTTACTGTGTTTGGATTGATGGCGGCGGTATATCTTACGAGTCTGATGGATGTTATGTCGACTACAGCGGCTTATGCTGCTGTGTTGGTTGTTTTTGTTGGACTGATTACTGAGCTGCACGATGGCTGAGACGGAGCAAAAGACAAGCGTTTATCCGAGAAGAAATCCAGACAGCCTTCAGGAACAAACTTAGCACTTTTCTTATTTCTAGTTGAATAGTTTGGATTTTGAAGAATCTTACAGAGTTCATGTCTCGAGTACATGAATACGCAACAAATCATCTAGCACCTTGCCAACAGCCAGAACCTTTTCCTCCTCCAGAACCCGCCCCACGATCTGTATATCCACAGGGAGATGATGCTTGACCATCTCTTGCATATTATCCTCCCAAAGGCGGGTGTTCCACTCATCTAACTCGTTCCTCGGCTCATGATCCCATAACGCATCAAGATCCCTAGCTTCAACCTTTCCTCCAGGAATGACCAAAGCGGTATAATCCAAAATATTCCAAACCTTAGTATATCCCACCCACTTGACAGTGTTGTGAGGTACAGCTGCATGTGGTAGGGCCGGCATTATAATGGCATCCACAGTCTTTCCCTTCTTAGAGTGGGTGTTGTTCCACTTCTCCAGATAGGCCTGCTGGAGCTCGCGCTTCCGCTTGTTGAGTTGCCAATAATCAAACACTGATATAGGCTTTCCCCTGTTCACAAGTCTCTCCACGCTCAGGATAAAAGGTTCGCCTCCTGCCTCGACATCACGACGAATGTCTTCTCCTCCATCGACTGTGAAGTAGGCATCCATAACCTCTATGCACTCAGCGTGCAAGTCAGGCTTCCACATTACAAGCTCGTGACCATCAGCGGCAAGGGCAGCTGCAGCTTGTGCGAGAACCCTTACGATACTGGGATGGGGCTTCACGACGCCGTCGTCATACAAGACACCGATCGTCAGCTTGCTGTTTACTGTCATGTCATATTCAGACTGGCGCCATGGGATGGGAACGCAACGACAGTCTTGTTTCCAGGGTTCCTGAAGCGTGATCTCTTTGGTGAGATGGTAAATGGTCGAAAGGGAGCGCGCCAAGGGGCCAATGGAAGACGGGACGTGCTCTTGTCCATCAGTTGAGACAGGCACTCCTCCATATGGTAATCTCGAGCTCTACGTCACGTCAGCGATGTTCCGAAGGTGGTGAGTCCACGTACGCTTGGCTTGAAACCATATAAACCCATCATGGAAGCTGGCATGCGGATGCTACCACCCAAATCTGATCCGAAACCTCCGAGACTTCCATGAGCGTAAATCAGCGCCGATTCCCCGCCTGAGGATCCTCCAGGCGTATATCCAGGAATGATTGGGTTCTCCGTCAACCCCCAAAGAGGATTGTCAGTTTCAGCCCACTTCTTAAGATTAGTATAAACTCCAACTATTATTGTTATCAGACTCACCATTATGCTCTGTGGGAGATTGGTCTTGCAAATAATGATGGCGCCTAGTTTCTTCAGGATCTTTACTAGAACGGCATCATCGTTGGCTGGCTTGAAGGCCTTGCTTGTGTAGCCGAGAGTGGTGTCGTAACATTTGACATTGAACTGGTCCTTCAGACTTATTGGAACGCCATGCAGAGGTCCTTTTGTTTTCTTCTCTTTGGCATAATATGCATCGAGCTCTTGGGCCTGTTCCAGGGCATCATCGAAGAGGATTTCGGTCAGGCTAGTAAATCATCAGGCTTTTGTGGCAGCAAGAGATTACAGTGAGGCTCACCAGTTTGTCTGTTGGTAATGTTAGCTATGTATAGAGGTCGCCAAATTGTCATAGTTCTACCTTCTTATGCGCCTCAATGGCTCTGTGGCACGATATGTTAGCATATATCTCTCACGGAGTTCAATGATTGACTTTCCGTGTGATATAAGCCAGGGTTACGTCTTCACTGCTGAGCTTTCCACTCCGGATCTTATCGGCCAAAGTAGTGATATCATCGACTTGGGTAATGGCGTTGTATGCATCCTGGCGGTCCTCTTTGTCTGATAGGTGCTTGGTGACAAAAGCAGAGATGGCACGGGTGCGTTGCCGTCGCTTCTCTGCGACAACTTGTTGCCAGATTTTTGTATCCATAGCGATCTATAGATCTAGCGATAAGGAAAGGCTAGGGAGGTCGCGTATCTGTCCTGTCAAGGTTCAGAGGCTGTTGCGAAAGTTGGAGGCTGGTTGAATAACCCCGCATATACCCGCACCCGTTACCGCTGCTTATGAAGATTTTCGGGTGCAACATCCGAAATGCAAGTGATGGGTGCTTGGCATATACCTAACTAAGCTGTATTTATCGGTCAGAGAGAGTTGCCCATAGTCGCGCTTGAGGGTTGAATATTCTTCCTGGTTTCCAGTTCAGTTCCTGGCGTCTCTCAACCCTTACATTCTGATAGAGACATGATCTGATAATAAAGTTTGCCTTAAAGCCGAGCGGTCGGGCATAAGCCAGGCATGGCTATCGCGGATCCTCTGATACAACTGCGTACGCGACCACCAATCGTGGCGTGATATGAAGTGACTCAACCTGCCTGAATTACTCACCGTTCAATTATCGCAAAGTTTCTCAGTCTCAGAGTTTTGGCGCCGTAAGCTCGGGCTAACTTCAGCTGAATCAAGACCTACAGGTGCTGCTGTCTATGATGTCATTGGCTGCTTTGGCGATGCCGCATATCCGTAGTATCGCGTACAACGAGTCTTTGAAGGATTCGCTGCGTGTCCAAAAGGCGGTCATAAAAAGCCACAAAATCTTCATTCTCGAAAGGAAATATTATACTGTTCTTCATTAATCTCGTGTGTTATCTCTATCTTTAATTCGTACCTAGCAGAGCAAAACTACGCTTACTGAAAGCGCGACAAGAAAGAAGAACTTACGCATTTACTCATAATAAGTTCACTTCTACTCCAATGGCGCCATTGAAAGTGTTGATATGCGGAGGCGGCTGTGCCGGACCAGCCTTGGCCTTCTGGCTCACCCGTCTCGGCCATCATGTCACCATCGTCGAGCGTTTTCCTGCCCTACGCGCAACTGGAGCACAGATCGACTTCAGGGAACAAGGAATTGCGACTCTCAAGGTAATGGGAATTATAGACGAGATACGCGCCAAGCTGGTTGACGAAGCAGGCGTTGCTTTCGTCGACTCAAATGGAAAGATCTTGGGAACAGTATTCGCCAATACGTCAGGCAAAGGCGCCCAGTCCATAACTTCCGAGTTTGAAATCATGAGAGGAGATGTTGTGAGACTTTTATACGATAGAACGAAGGATCA